GCTATCAGGAAGCAAGATAAGTCCAGGTACCAGGAATGTAATTGGGAAGTTTAAGTAAGCTGAATTTTAAATATCACCTAACCGAACTTCTCTAAATTAGAAAAGGGAATTAGTGCAAGAGACCTAGGCAAACGGCCGACAGCAAAGATCTCAACAAACTAAAGAATAGGATTGAAAGTATGCAGTATATTCTTGACAAGTTTTGTTTTAATCAGTAACACTGACGTCAACTTTTAAAAAAAAAAAAAAATTATCTAGTGTAGGATTTAGTCTCAGAATAAAGGGGTGCCAAGTTAAGACTGAAATGAGAAGAAATTTCTTCTGAGGGTTAAGACTCTTTGGAATATCCTTGGGTATATCTAAGGCTGAGATAGATTTTTGATCAGTAAGGTAATCAAGGGTTACGGGGAAAGGGCAAGAAAATGGAGATGAGGAACGTTGGATCACACATGTTCCTACCAAATAGCAGAGCAGGCTTGAGGTTGCTCCAACACATCCTCTGATACTTTGGTACAGGCCTCCATCTTGGGCTAATTGCTGGTCTCCACTTCCCAAGAAACACTGGTCCTATATCGCCACTATCATCTCTGAAAAGATCCTCCAGCACAGAGTTGACACCCGTCGCCAGGTCTGACAGACAGCTGCACTCTGTTTCTTACAGTCTTATGGGTAATGCTTCAAAGCCATTTCACAGAATCAGAGTAATACAGCATTGAAACAGGCCCTTTGGCCCAAACTGGTCCATGCTGACCATGTTGCCCACTCAGCTAGTTCAAATTGTCTGCATTTGGTCCATATACTTCTAAATCATTTCCATCCATGTAGCTATCCAATTTTTTTTTAAAAAAATGTTGCTATTGTACTTTCTTCAACCACCATTTCTGGCAGCCCATTCCATATATGCACCACTCTCTGCATGAAGAAGTTGCCTCTCAGGTCCTTCTTAAATCTTTCTCCTCTCACCTTAAACCTATGCCGTCTAGTTTTCAATTCCCCATCCTATCTCCCTCGTGATTTTATACACCTCAATAAGGTCACCCCTCATTCTCCTACATTCCAAGGAATAAAGTCCTATCCTGGCCAACTTCTCCCTATAACTCAGGCTTACTGGTCCTGGCAACATCCTTGTAAATCTTCTTTGAACACTTCAGTTTAACTCTGACTTTCCTATAACAGGGTGACCCAAAACTGTACACAATACTCCAAGTTGTTAGCTAGGCCACAACTTGGAGCACTGTGCAGTTCTGGTCCCTAAACTATAGGAATGATGTAACAGTACTAGAATGGGAACAGAGGAAAGCAGCCTCTCCAACGACTTATACAACTGTAACATAACGTCCCAACTCCTTTACTCAATGCCTCGACCGATGAAGGCCAGCATGCTATATGCCTTCTTCACCACCCTGTCTATCTGTGATGCCATTTTCACCAAATTACGTACATGTACTCCTAGGTCCCTCTGTTCCACAACTCTTCTCAGGACTTTACCATTTTTAAGTCCTACCTTGGTTTGACTTTCCAAAATGCAGCACCTCACACTTATCTGTATTGAATTGCATTTGCCAATCCTCAACCCTCTTCCCCATCTGATTAAGATCCCGCTGTAATTTTTAATAATCTTCTTTGCCATCAACGATTCCTCCTAATTTCGTACTATCTGCAAACTTACTAATCATGCCTTGTACATTCACATCTGGATCATTTATATAAATAACAATTAACAAAGGTCCCAGCACCAAACCCTGTGGCACACCACTAGTCACAGGCCTCCAGTCTGAGAAACAACCTTCAACCATCACCCTCTGCTTCCTATCCAATTTTCAATCCAATTAGCTAGCTCTCCCTGGATCCCATGCGATCTAACCTTGATGACTAGCCTGCCGTGCGGGGCCTTGTCGAAGGCCTTACTAAAGTCCATATAGACAATATCCACTGCCCTACCCTCATCTATCCTCTTGATTACCTCTCTGAAAAAAGATTTGTCAGACATGACTTCCTGTGCACAAATCCATGCTGACTATCCCTAAATAGAACTTGACTATCCAAATGTTGGTTGGTCCTGTCCCTCAGTATCCTCTCCAGTAACTTACCTACCACTGATGTCAGGCTCATAGTTCCCTGGCTCGTCTCCGCTACCTTTCTTAAACAATGGAGCAATATTAGCCACCCTCCAGTCTTCCAGAACTTCACCAGTGGCTAAAGATGAAGCAAAACTCTCTGCAAAGGCCTCTGTAATTTCTTCCCTAGCCTCCAACAATATCTGAGGAAGAACCTGATCAGACCCAGAGGATTTATCCACCTAAGTGCACTTTAAGGCTCCAAACACCACCTCTCTGGTAATATGGATGCAGTCCAAAACATCCCCACTTGTTTCCCTTATTTCCTTAGCATCCATGATTTTCTCCTAAGTAAACACTACATCTTTTTTTCACAAACCTGTTAGCAAAGGAAGTTAATCCTCAATTCTAAAAACTAAACATAGTAAACTACAGACATCCTCGTTAATTATGAGAATCTATCTAATCTACCTCTCTACTCAAAATGTCAAAATACAAAAAGTGCAGAAAATGTCCAATACAAAAATTTACCAGGAAAGGTTTTAACTTGATATGCATCTACCACTGTTATGTTATTAGTCTTAAGCACTAGAGGCTCTGATGCAAGATTACTTACCTGGAAGTGTTGTGCAAATATAGATTTTTGGATTTTATATCTTTGCATGATAGTTCAGCAGGGAACAAAGACATTTTTTCGGTCTTTGGTTCCAAATGAAGATTACAGCAGAACTCACCTGGAAAGCTGTTCCAAACTTTGAAAGTACATACGCTGTTGAAAACTGGTCTGCAAAGCTCTAAGTGCTTCAAACATATTGTCCTATTTTTGCCAGATGACAAAATTACACAAATAATCAGCATAGCTCTTTGTTCATTTCCATCTCTCCTAAAGCAATACTTGCGTCAAAGTGGTGCTTGCTTTATAACTGAGAGGCAAGAATAAGGTGGAATGAGGCAATACAAGTAGACATAATAGGTTGCCTAAATATTCTGAAGAGACGAGTATTAACAGTAAGTCTTCTCCTTGCAACACACATCAGAATATGAAAGAATTGTTTGTAATTTAATGTAAATCCAGCAACACGATTCAAATAACTGCATTTTTAAAGTTGCACTGCTCATATAAAATGATCCATTAATGATCAAAGCATTAGCAGTTATATAATGAGTTCCTCCCAATTGCATAATAAACCAACACAAGATAATCACAACATTGGAAGACATCTGGAGAAATCACAGCACTCAAAAAGTTCTACATCACCAAAGACAAAGCAGCATATACAACTGGGACACACCATGCCCCACCCTCAACGTTCACTCCCTCCACCATGGATGCACAGCAACAAGTGGAGTGCCATCTACAAGATTCACTGCAATAATTCTCAAACTCCTCAAATAGCACCTTCCAAATGCACCTCTAACACCCAGAAGCACAAAGGCAGCCACTTAATTGGAGCACCATAACCTGGAAGTTCCACTCCAAGTCACATACCAGAAATGGTTTGGAACTACATCATGTAATTACTGTCACTGGGTCAAAATCACAGAACCCTCTAACCATACTGTAGGTGTCGTGACACCTCAAGGACTGCAGTGGTTCAAGAAAGCAATACACCCCCATCTCCAAGGCAATTAGGAATGAGCAATATATGCTGGTTGAGCCAGTGATGCTCACATTTTGTGAATGAATAAAAACATTAGCTCACTCAGGTCATATCAATTGAAATTACTCATACCCCATAGCATCTTCTTATGCCCATTTACCTTATCTCTCCTCACCAACACCACAGACACACCTTCTAGGTGAAGCAGCAATTTACCTGCACTTCATTCAATCTAGTCTACTGTATTCGCTGCTCAAAATGGGTCTCCTGTACACAGGGGAGACAAACCGCAGAATGGGTGACCACTTTATGAAACACTTCTGCTTTGTCCATAAAAATAACACCAAGTTTCCTGCCTGCCAGGTCAACACACCACAACACTCCCATGCCAACATTTGTCTCTGGTTTGTTGCAGTGCTCCAGCAAAGTTCAGCACAAGCTGGAGAAACACCACCTTATTTTCTGCCTAGGTATGTTACTACCCCTCAGGACTCAATGTTGAGTTTAACAATTTCAGATGTGAACAGCTTCTTCAATGTTCGTTACCTAACCCCAGGTCCTGTTCCGTACAGGTTGCTCCCAGCAGAGGCAAGCCATTTTCAACTATTCACACTTCCAATTAGCACCCATTCAAAATTTGTCTCTCTCCAGTTTATCCGCAATCCCTCTGTCTTGCTGTTTTTTTATTCCTCTTTCAGGGTGCCATCTCCATCTATTTGACTCATTCCTTGTCGTCCTCCTAGCCCCCATCAACAAACCCAGTCAGCAGCATAAATACTACCGTTTCATAGCTGCTTTCAGTTCTGACGAAGGGTCACAGGTCTCAAAACGTTAACTCTGCTTTCTCTCCACAGATGTTGCCAGACCTGCTGAGTTTCTCCAGCAATTTGTTTTTGCTACAAATTACTTTGGTATGGGGGACTGAGAAAGGAAAACAGCCATTCACATTACGTTCACTACTAATACTAGCTCTTATCTCTCCACTGCTCAAGTGAGAAGGTGGATGGTTTTGGCTTGGGATGCTCATCAGTGTTACTGTTCCATGACCAGATCAGGCTGACATGCTTCTACTATTAAGATGTTGTTTAGGCTGACTTCTTTTTCCTTTCCTTCTTGTATAACGTGCAGCAGTGTTGCCTCACTACTGACATTCGCAATACGGATAACATTTGATTCAAATGACAAGTTGTTTAATCCTATCCCAGGAATTAACAGAACCTCTCTCAGGAATTAAAATATCGAAACATGTTAAGGCCCAACATGTGCATACAAGTATGATCACAACACTATTTCAAGTCAGGTTTCTTAGCAACTTACTAAGGGGAAAAAAAACCCGACACAATTAGAGAACGCTGGTTTATTTGGTATTGTAAAAGTAACAATCCAAGAAGGCAAACCCAGCTGTTTGGCTATGCTATAGCAATTGAAAGAATAAATCAGTTACTGTACAATGCTGCAAAATTCATTCACAATATCAAACTTGTTCGACTAATTGCAGTAATTAAGCAGATTTTGGATGAAAATGTTAATAATCACACCTCATTCAATTAATGCTGAAGAATGTTCTGCATCATGTTTCGGCAGGTTTTTATACATTACTTGATTTACAGATTGCACTTTAAAGTGACAGTTCAGGAGAAAAAAAAATAAAACACTGATCTATCTCGTGTTGTTTCAAGTTTTCATAGCAACGGCCATGACTCCCAAGCCTAGGGCAAATTTCAGATCTTAAATTAAACTTGTACTATTAAGGTAACCTCAACTCTCCAGAGGCTAAATCCACGCAGCACCAAGTTTCTAGAATGTGAATTAAAGAAGAAACATCGGGCAGAATAGTATTTCTTGCATACCACATCAGTTTAAGACAATGAAGCTTGCAAATGCTTTCAGTAATTCTCACGTAATATGCTACAATGGCCTTTCACTTGGACCCAGCAAGAGGATAACATCTCCAGGGAGCTTATACCTGGAAAAGGCAGTAGCAGGTTTGACTGGCAGCTCAACTGGGCTGATCCTCACACACATTGAACTGAGGGAGACTTTTGGCTTTGAGTCTGCTGTAACATATTCAGCCAACATCAGAGTAACAGTTGAAGGAGAAGGGATCTTGCTTCTTAAAGTTAGCAGCGGAGGAGTTTCCAGGATTTCAACGCCTGAACTGAATTCAGTCCACAAATAGATACATGATGGTGTTCTTTGTTACTTTCAGTATTTAACAAAAACTCAAAGAAACTCGTTGAACTAGAACTGGTTTCCCCTCATTAGTGTTCATGAATCCACTTGTCAGATATCAGCTTCCAGTATACACAGGGGCTTTCACATTACAATCCCTAGGTCATATGATTCTACATTGGACAGAAAAGGCAAACTTTTGACTGTTAGGGACTTGTAAAAACACTGCTAATCTCAAATTATTGACTGGAGTCTTGGAATTTGGGGTCCTGCCTTTGAAATCAAAATGGCCTGTATTTAATTGTCCTGAAGCATGTGCAACAAAACACTGTCCAAATTGTTACAAAACGTAATACAAATTAAAAGATGAAACTCAATAAGCTGCTTCTTTACAACAACGAGGATCTCAGTCTTGGCCAAGACAGTATGCTAACCTTGGCCCGGCTGTATTTGTTAGGTAACAGGAAGCCACTAGGAAGTTGGATGGGAGATGTAACAATGCTATTTTACATAAAAGCTACAGATTTGATCCACCACATATGGACTCTAACAGGTTCACAACTGATTGGTTTCAATGATCACTGGCCAAACACAGACTTGTGGCCTCATGTCCATTTTTCCAATCATACATCAGAATACACTGGTCAAGGCATACATGGGAGCATCAATCTTTCAAAAAAAAAACTAAATATTTTCAATTCTTCATTAGATTTAAAGTGACTGAATTGGTATAGGTTGACAGCAAACAAATGAAGCACCGAAAAGAATTAAACAATGCCAATACCCTGATATCAATTACTTTTCAATGTTAGATTGTCATCAGTTCCTGTAAAACAAATTCAGAACAAGTACATTTGATTAAAAATGCTTTCCATCAACAATTAACATTTGTATTTCAATATTTACAATTCAATTACATAACAAATACAGTATAAGCTGTACAGGGTGGCAGTCTATTCTGCTTCTTACAACTCCAAAGTCCTCAAGAGGTCAGTTGATAGGAAGATGCAGTACTTTTTTAAAAAAATTACAACGGTTACCACCGGAAGTTTCAATGCATGCCCATCATGGTCTTTTGACCAATGTAAATGGTTCATGTTTCTTTTGCTTGCCCTCGAGATGTGAGTTGCATGGATTTCAGGTTGTGTGAGGTGACAATTAACTGTCATGATCATCACAGCAAAGATGGAACTTTGTAAACTTACACTACCTTCAAAACTGTGTAATCCTGTTAAAAATAGAACCAAAGTCTTTTTTTTAAAAGAACCATTATTCAAGAGCACACATTTAACAGGAGACCAAAATAAAGTATTTTTTAGTACATAAAACAAGTTAGAAATTTGTCTATGTACATTAATAAAGGCTATACGAATATAATATTCATACATGTTAAATTGTTCTTGGATAAAATAGTTAGTGGGAAAAAAGAAGATTGATTTTTAACCTTGACCTTGAACAGTATCTCATTATATAAACATTCACAGAAAACGAGGATGATTAGGACTGACAAATTAAAGTACACTATATATACACATATATAATAAAATGTCTTTACAGTAGACATACCTTATTTTAACTTACAGCCTCTGATTTCACATATATAGTTTTGTATAGCTAGCCATTCATTATCAGTCTAGCATTTTATTCATCAAACTTGAACAAGTAAATACATTTGGACAAAATCATTAAGAAATGTAAACTGTAAAGTTCAGTGCATAAGCCAGATTTAAAAAAGGAACAGATTTTTATGGCCTGTGATTCTGAGGAGATGTTTATGTGCTGATATTCTGCAAGAATCAGATACTATCTGTACAGGGTTCTTTATGATATTTCAAGAAAAACATAAGGCAGTATGTGTCATGCATGAGAGTGGGACTTGCCACAAAGTGGTAATGCCATGATTCCTCATAATGATTTGGGTCGGTTGGCAGATGAAAAAGAAAAGATGTTGAATATAACTATGTTAAAGCAACACAGAAAACCACACAGCTGCCAATCAAGAAGTGGAGGAACTGGATGTCAGTCAACTACTTTCTTGATTAAGAAATAATATAGCAAATGTTATTTAGAACGTTGGTTGACCACCGATGTTGTAGCCATTCTGTAAAAAGAAGTTAACCTATCTCACAAACAAGGATGGTCAGATGCATCAAACAGTAGCCAGAAATTAATGTTTCTCTAGGGGCTATTCCAATCAATTAAACAGATGATAAAAGTGCATTCAAGCACTTGTCGAGATAAACACAACAGAAACCTTGCGTCATGATCAAGTCAAAAATTACTTCCTTTACTGTTTGCTGTTTAAACCCGGTACATAGGTGTACAATATGTATCAATACACCCTTTCCAATATTTCACTCAAGATTTGGACAGATTTACTCCACCTGTTATAATTCATTCACTTAAGCTCACTAGTTTTGATTCCCATCTCTTTCCCATCTTCATCCTCTCAATATTCCATATGCCTTCTGGTACAACTTCCAGAAAGGAACGAAATAGATAAAAAGTTTTAGAATTAAAACCCTTAAATGTTTGCCATTTCTCCACTTCTCCTAATCAATGACATCGAAGCTAACAAAGTGGTAACGGGCTCAGTTAGCATTCTGACTCTGTCAATGAACAATACAGTATTCAAATTGTAAGCGTGGGTCAGAAAAAGAAATGAATCTGCAATTTGAGAGCTCTCTGCACTATGGCATCGAATACTTACAATGTCAAGTAAGAAAAAGAATAGCAAAATGCTGGTATTTAGGATGATCCCATTAAACAGAAATTCTATATACATATATCTTTCATAAAAACCGTAATCTGATTCTATACAAAACAAAAACCATAAAACTTAGAAATGATTTTTATATTTGCATAGTGCCCCCACTTCAGTTATCTGTATATACAAAGTGATACGATCCTAGTTTTACATCTTTATAAACACAAATAACTCTTTTCTTTAAAAATAAATCATTGTAAGGAAATACTTGTGCTTGTCAATCAAGGCAATTTTATAATAATAAAGAAATCTGGCTAATACCACATTTTAGAATAAGCAGGAATTCAATTATTAAAAACAGGTACCATAATGGACATGCAATAATATTGTTTTTATAAAAAAAACCTGTTTTTCTATTTTACATTATCTATACCACATTTCCATGTAAAGAAAATTCCAGTTTCGACCTCCAATCTTTAATGTACACCTTTAAGTAACAGCATACTGATTGGTACTGAAGTCAAACCATGATTCCGACTGGAACCTTTCAATGTGCTAACTGGGCCGAGGTCATCATAGGCACAGACAGGCCATGTAGCAAAAACAAAAGAATAAAATGTGCAATTTGATGTCCGATCCTTCTTACAAGCATGTTCCATGTAGTCACACTTCTCATCAGTGCTCTGTGGGTAGAAAGGAAGTACATATAATGAGGAAATGCAGAGACGATTTTGCAACAGAGATAGCCTTTCTTTTTGAAAAATATAAATTTTACAGGTCTCTGATCAATGAGATGGACTTCAAGCCCATCAGAATCTTTGGCGTTCTTTCAACGAGTTCTATCAAGCAGCTTTAGTGAAAGTTACATGATTTACTTGAAGCTACTAGTTGTAAGGAACTATACTGCAACACTAAATAGGGTTACAGATCTCTAATCAGATGACTAATTACATTGTGGAACACAATGGTTCTTCGATTATCCAGGATCTAGATGAGAATCCAGCAAAACCAAGTTCCACTTCGAAACTGGGCTTAAATTGCATGGAAAAAAAAACTAGAGAAGACTGGTAACACTTAGCATTCTGGCAGCTTTTGCGAGCAGAAAAACATAGCCAAAGTTTCTGGTCAATGACTCTTCATTAATGCTTTGCGATGGAGCTAATCACTAATCTTCGAAACAAAAAAAAAAGTCAGCAAACACTGCAAAGCCATTAGCAAACACTAACTGTTAAGCAGAAGGTCTCAAGACATGGTGAAGAATATATTCCCATCGTATAGTATATTCTGCTGGCCAGCTTTTTCTCACTGAATTATCATGAGATATGTAAATGTTGATCCTTCCTATAGTAAATGTTAGAGGCAAAGGTAATAAAATAGAATATAATATTGCCCTTTCTGATTAACATTAACCTTTTCACATTTCTAACTTTATTTTTCCTTGATAAAATTATTGTTGTGTGCCTGTTCATTGATTTCATGTGGTAACTTCAGCCACAGTTAAAAGGAAAATTGGCATGGTCATGAGGAAAAAGCAGACACGTTAACTGATGGGACAGCTTTTAAAAAGGATGGTACCTGAATAATGGCCTGAATGGTCTCTTTTGCCACTTTATGACTCTGACAAACATGTTTGTAATTTCCTGGAAACGTGCTCATATTTCCATAGATGCTGCTGGACTGGCTGAGTACTGCCAGATTTTTTTATCTTTATTTTACATTTCCAGTATTTGCAGCATTTTGCATTTGGTCTATCTAAATTTTTAGAGCCATTTGTTATAGTCAGTAATTCACAAAGGTTCAGTGTAGCTAATTTGTTCATAATCTTTAAAAAGAAATCCCAAAGAAAACAGCCTAAACTGCCTCAGTTTAAATTTCTGATACCTACCAACAAATTTTGCTTTTGCACACTCAAAGATCAATTATCCTTTCAAAGAAAAAAAGCACAGGCTTTCCAATCAAAAAAGTAACAGGAAATTCCTTAAGTTAATCTGAACAGGAAAAACATCTCTAATATCTCCAGAATGAATGGCTGCGCTTCTTTAGGAAGTAATCTTTATTTTCAACCTAGAATACCCAAAATGTCTAAATGTGATCATTAGAACTTCAAATACAGACACAAATGAGTTAAACAATGAAAAGATGTACCACCTCAAAAAGTCTCAAATACTTTTTCATGTAAAAGTGAAATCTATTATCTTGACCTTAAAGAGAACCATATAATGCTATATTAAAACAAAAGACTGTATATATAAGGTATATACAGTTTACCTTGTTTAGTAGCATAATCAGAAAGTCTTGAAAATTTCCAGATCCTTGGGAGGAACAGGTGGGATCTTTTTCCACTCATTTTCAGGATAGGATTCAAAATTGGATGTGTCCCCATCGTGAGATAGCTTCGGTACTATTGGTGGCTGAAACAGAAAATTCTTTTTTCAGATAACAAATTTTGGGTAGATCCAAAAAAGGTATTGCCTAAAGATCTGTTAAGTAATACCATTTTTATCTTCTGTGCAGTCAAAGAAGTGTGGGGATATCCTTCTTCAACTAACATTTTGCTGGTGGTTTTATTTTTGTAATCTGTAAAATGGCTGCCATATTCACTTAATAAACACAACCACAAAATGCTTCAGGTGCACGTGAATTATGTTCCTCAAAGACATGACTAGGTGTTGTTTATTCTTGTAAAACTCAACTCATTACACCCACTCCTATGAAAAACATATCCTCACTCTACTGGGTGTGACCCGCTAATGAAAGAACCACAACAGGAAAAGTCAGAAATTTTCCAGTTTCTTTCTAGACGAATAGGAGCATGAGAAACTATTTCACCTTTTAGTTGGATCATAACTGATCTGTACATGAAATGAATATAGTGCTTAATTTGTATTCCTAATAGTTTTAGTAGGTAAAAGTATCCTCTCAGTCTTGAAATTTTCAATTGCCCCAGCAACGCAACCAATGACAAAAAGAATTCCACATATCCATTTTTCTGTACAGAGTATTTTCCGATTAATTTCTGAAACAGCTTGTTCTAATTTTAAAATTCTGACCCATTGTTTCAGAATCCATTGAAGCCCTCACATACATCTTATCAAGTGCTAACATTTAATGTACAAGATCACAATTAGATCACCTATTAATCTTCTAAACTCAAGGAAATACAACCAAGCCGGCACTGTCCTCAATTTAATCCTTGAACCGCTGGCATCATTTAGGTGAATCTGTGCTGCAGTACATTCGAGACCAATACATTTTTCTGAACAGTCGCTGCCCAAAACTGAACACAGCACACAAAGACAAACTGCTATAACAACTCAGCAGGTCTGGCAGCATTTGGAATCATAGAATCCCCACAGTGGGGAAAGAGGCTATTTTGGCCTATTGAGTCTGAACTGACCCTCCAAAGAGCATCCCATCCATATCAAGCTCCTCACCTTATTCTTGTAACCCCACATTTACCACAGCTAATCCACACAGCCTTTACACTCCTAGATGTAGACACTATGGGACAATTTAGAATGGCCAATCCACCCACCCTGCATATCTTTAGACTGTGGAGGAAACCAGAGCACTTGGCAGAAACTCAAGCAGACACAGGGAGAACATACAAACTCCACAGAGACCATCACCTAAGGATGGAATCAAACCTAAACATGGAGATCAGTGAAAATGTTAACTGTTTCTCTTTTCAGAGAATTTGCCAGATTTGTTGAGTTTCTCCAGCAATTTCTGTTTTTGTGTTTCAGATCTCCAGGATCCATGGTTCTTTGTTTTACTTTACTGAATACAGCACTCCACACAGCACCTGGACCAAGGTGCTTGACAATTGAAGTATCAGTTCCTTACATCCAACAACCCTGACAGAAAGGTCAAAAGTTGAAGGCTTTTTGATTACTTTTTCCACAGGATGTTTTACTGCAGATTTTGTTGACGCACCTGAGCCTTTGCAATCTGATCTCTACCCTTTCTCAATATTGCTGACTTAAACTACTTGCAAATGAATAACATAGTCAATGATAATTTTATCCTCAAATCCTTAGCTATAAAACTTTCTCACCTTCCACAAACCCTCTGCTTAAAATCTTTCTGGTATATCAGAATATCAGCAATGGAGCATGACAGAAGCAATCTTCATATTCTCTGCTACAATTAAAATGTATTATGATGTAAGAATCATCAATACACCCGCACCCGCCCCATCACTTTCAACTAGTTATTTACATTAAAGATAACCTTACAACCAATACCACTGTTACAAAAAATCTCAATCACAACCGTATCAAGATTCAAACAAAGAAAGAAAAATGGGTAGAAACAGTTAGGAGTTTAAATATTAAAGGACATAAATTTAAAAGAGCATGCTTGTAATTTAGGAACAGTGTACATTTCTATTAACAAACAATTGTGGGAAATGAGTATAGAAAACAAATTACTATAGAGATGCCAAGTGATCTTTTTAGTCTCTAACATCTGATTTAGAAAATGTAAAGCTGATCATTTTTGAAAATTGAATTTTGAAGTATGCACATCAATGGGCAACATTCCTAAATTTCACTATTAGACAGGCATATGTGGAAATGTATCTGGGGAGGGTAATGACTTTACATAATCCATAGATTATCTTCTATGTCTGCATAAAGATAGAAGGGATTCAAATAGAAGATAATCATTTCAATTTGAAAATTGGCCCTATGGATACTGGTTTTACAGATAACTGCTTTATACAAATATTACTATATGGCAATAAACAGTCAATCTGGCAGATTAACTCAATTTACATTAAAAAATATACAGTAGACAGAAGACTGATAATTTTTCAGGATTTTAATACCCATTTAACAGCTTATTTACTTTCATAACCTCATGTTTGTAGTTAAAAGATCACGAATACTAGATGTCAGAATGTCTGCCAATGTAATTTAAAGCTCCCAGAAACAAAGAAATTTAACTGAAAATTCCAGTGCATATTTTTCTGGAAAACTCACTGCAATTGATATCTAACTTAGATGGATCGCCAGCTAAAAACATATTTAAAATAGGAAAACTGACCCTAGGATCCTGCTGATTACTGCCCAGGCATATCAATTATTATGAAGAGACTGATTCTGTTCTAGAGGTCAGTAATGTTGTTTACTACACATACACAAGATGCAGACTTTGCTGGAATTAACACGTTTTGTTAACCCTTAATCACTCAGAGCCCTCTTTGGCCATTGCAAGTTATGTCAGAAATTTGTGTGGAATCGGCATCACTAACGCGGGCCAAAGGGCCTGTACTGTGCTGTACTGTACTGTTCTATGTTCAAATCAAATTAAGGACAGGCAGCAAATTGCCTAATCCTAAAGTATATGAGTGCACCAGTTAATTTTCTGAAACAATCCAACAGCTACTGCTAATTCTGCAGGCCTTATATTCCCAACTGCCATGGAAGGATTGATGTTTTCTGGGTTAGTAGCTCAGCAATATATAAACAAAATCCCTCCAACTTAAATTCATCACCCTTTTTCCTTATCATTTCCCCTATTTTCTAGCATCAATTTCCCCTTTTCATTGAAGTACCTGAGGACATTTCCTACCATTAAAAGGCTGTAGTTAAGTGTAAGCAGTTACTATCAATCAATGAAAGGTAATAGTGCAACAACAAATGCGCACATTTTAACGGTGTCTTAATTATATAGCAGAGGAGAGGTTGAGTAGATTAGGATTATTTACATTAGAAAGATGGAGGTTGAGGGGGGACCTGATTGAGGTCTACAAAATCATGAGGGGTACAGATAGGGTGGATAGCAAGAAGTTTGTTCCCCAGAGTGGGGGACTCAATTACTAGGGGTCACGATTTCAAGGTAAGAGAGGAAAAGTTTAAGGGAGATATGTGTGGAAAGTTCTTTACGCAGAGGGTGGTGGGTGCCTGGAACGCGTTGCCAGTGGAGGTGGTAGAGGTGGGCACGATAGCGTCATTTAAGATGTATCTAGACAGGTACATGAATGGGCAGGGAGCAGAGGGATACAGATCCTTGGAAAATAGGTGACAGGTTTAGATAGAGGATCTGGATCGGTTTGGAGGGCTGAAGGGCCTGTTCCTGTGCTGTAATTTTCTTTGTTCTTTGTTCGTGTTCTTTGACATTAGCAACAAGGGGAGCACTTGTGTTATTATACCACATTGACGGTTACACAGGATGCCATGACCTTCCAACTATAGCCAAGTGAATCTTTTTCTTCTGACAGATGTCAGAAGACAAAGATTCACTTGGCTCTGGTTGGAAGGCCAAGGCATTTGTTATAACTATTGCATTGTGGGTCGGTTCTGGGATTTGGGGTTGCTTGGCTCAGGGGTGGAGCTGCAATGGTTTTAGATTGGCTCTTTGGGGCCAATATGGTGTGCAGCCTTTATGGGAGATATTCAGTGGTGTTGAAGCTTGAATGTGGAGTCTCTTCTGTGATTCGGAATACAGGTGGCCTAAGGAGGGCACACTGTTGTTTTGACACTGGATGTTTTGGAATGTCATTCTTTCAGCTGTTGGCTGGAGGTGGTGGTGGTGGAGGACCTGGGAATGGGATTCAACAAAGCTGTTAGTGCAGGAAGTGGGGTCAGACGGGGGTTGGGAAATTAAAATCGGAACTTTGTTGAAAGATAGAAAGGCACACAGTAGGTGCCATGGTGGGGCGACTTGCAAAACTTTTCATTGTATTTTTCATGTAAAAAGTACGTTACAATAAACTTCTATTATACTGTATTCAACAGTCATTAAAAATTCCATTCAATATGAAATATTGAAAAGGTCAAGTAAATGCTCATATTCTTCACAAGTGCATTTTAATACTTGTAAAAGATCTTAACCATGCAAACATAAGGGATACATTTACAATATTGGGGATACTTTGTGTAGCTTATGAGATTACATTGATCCATCGGAAAGCATTCAGTAAAGAGGAAAGTTTATGAGTAGAGTTACATAGCTGAACATGTGCTCTCATTGCAGGAAAGATCATACAGGAATAAGTGAAAAGCTTGCCTCCCTGTTAAGCAGGATATTCTAAAGTGCAAAGTACAAGAATGGATTTTTTACATTCTGTTCCTAAATAAAACAGTGTAAAACCATGCTAAACACTTGAGACATCCATCCATAATTGGTATACAACAGTAAATATTTTAGTGAATAGTCACTTTACTTGACTAGTGTGTTAAATCCGAAAATAACCACGTTGTGTATTTTGGAAATAACCACTGTTCCTAACTCACCTTTAGTTTTCTTAGAGGTACTGATTCCCAATCCACATATTTAAACCATCTGTGTCGCTTAATGTCATCTGCTCCATTCTGAAAATTAATGGGAAGAAGTTTTAGAATTCTTATCCAATAAGGGTTACACCTACACCAGGACTAAAATTGAGAGAATTTACTGTAATGCTACTGTCATGACTAGAGCATTATTGTGTAATCACTGATAGTGGATAGATTCTGCAGTCATAAGTTTAGTTTTCCATTGAAGAATGAACTAGAGGAAACATCTTGTTAAGGACTTCAACCTCAGAATGTACAGCCAAATAACACATCTGATGTGATTAAGAAACATCTAAAATATTTGCAAACGTTCTATGATTATAGAAGGAAAAGTTTGCAGGTTCAGGGTTGAGAATGTCAAATTTATAACAAGAACAATTTTTTTTGCTCAAAAGACAAACAAATGGCTGGAATGGGTGGCTTGGGAACGTAGATGAGGGCAAGTCATTATGATAATTTAACAAACAGCTATAACATGTCATGAGAAGACAGTTGACTTACGGTAGAAACAATAGATCAAAATGGGATGATATGATGCTTTAATCCAAACTCATCTTGTGAACATTTGAAGTTGCATTGTCAGTGTCACAAAAGCAGGAAGAGTCTTTCATTTTAGTGCTAGGAGTGAACTGGGAGCCAAGTAACCAGAAATTGCCTTCAACACAAAACTAATAATACTAGCTGGTATTTTAATATAACATAAAAGTTCCAAGTGTCAGCATGGCTCAATGGTAGCACTTATGCTAGATTTAAAAGGTTTCAGATTCAAGACTCATTCCAGTACTAGATGATGAACTGCAGTGATGGATAGTACTGAAGGAATGCTGCATTATTGGAAGTAGTGCTTTCAATGAGTTATTATACTAGGTGTTAATCTAAGCTTTTTCGGTGGCATGCAGAAGATCCCAGTGCATTATTCAAACAGTAGAAAATGCAAAAATTGGCAACTTAGTACAAAGGGAATAAGCCTTGCCAATAGAGCAGGAACCTAAAGAAAACCTGTGCTGTGCATACAATAATTAGAGGATACAGGTATTATTATGGACATTTATAAAAATCCAAAAGTGCATGCAGTCTATCAGCTATTTAACTTTATTTTTAATTTATCTTGTAAGAAAAATAAGACTCAACAATTGACCGAAGGGGCTTTTGCTATTGTATTTTACTATTACCCAATTGCAACTTGTGTAAAAATGAGAAAAGAAAAATAGCCAGTTTCTACAAATATGCTTGAACTCAAGGGAGATTTTCCGCATCAATAAGGAGAAATTGTGCATTTGTGCCCATTAAAACTAAGGAAGGAACTTTCATTGGTATCAGAGATAGTAGGAACTGCAGATGCTGGAGAATCTGAGATAACAAGGTGTAGAGTTGGATAAACACAGCGGGCCAAGCAGCATCAGAGGAGCAGGAAGGCTGACGTTTCGGGCCTAGACCATTCTTCAGAAATGGGGGAGGGGAAGGGGGGTCTGAAATAAATAAGGAGAGAGGGGGAGGCGGATAGAAGATGGTTAGAGAAGATAGGTGGAGGGGAGACAGACAGGTCAAAGAGGCGGGGATGGAGCCAGTAAAGGGGAGGTAGGGAGGAGATAGGTCAGTCCA